AAAGAGTGTGGGTGTATAAAACACAAAACAGTCCCCACTATTACTGTGCTGTATTTCTGACTTGACTGCTGCTATACATTGTAGTTGTGTTTCACTACTTGAAAATGTGTTTACTGTGTTGACCTCAGGTTGTCTGTGTTCAGTGTTATTTGTTTTTATCATCTCCCCAATGTGTACGCCTTCATGTATCTCCTCCAAACAGCTAAAGATTAGTGAAACTTGCCCTCATTAAAAATGAGTAACCATGAGTGTTAATCAATGTTGGTATTACACATGTGCTAGATGTCAAATGTGATTTTGATTGCAAAGCAGGGGGGAATGAATAATTGGAAATAAATGGTAACTTGCACATAAGAGAAGTCCTCATCAGACTGATAAATATTTGGTGTGTACACAATGCCTTGAGAGCAAATACTCTGAGGTTCTGTTGGTGTTTTGCAAAAGATACAGGAGTGTATGGTATCTAAAGAAACCAGAGCCACTTCACTTAAAAGCAAAGAATTAGGTAGACGAGGATTTCTGACTTTCTATGAAGTTTTATTGAAAACGTGTATTTTATAATGCACCCACCAATACTGAGGAATATGTAGGCAAACAACTCTTGTATTCTCATTCTCATTTAGCCTTCAGACTTGATTAGATGGTCTGCCTTCAACTTTTGTGCGAATAAAAGCAAAACCATAATTTTGATAGGCATGGTTTGATTTTTTTTTTTTTTTTTTTTTATTTTAATAAGCTGCTCAATTTAAAAAAAAGTTATACTTTTGGGGCCACCAAGTATTTTGGATCATGCAAAGACTCTATATTGTACTGTAGTAATTTTGTAATATTTGTAAGATGATAGTCTGGGTGTGACTGGTTACCATTGCTTGAATCTGTACATTGTTTCAATAAATTGTTTACATAATTATTGGCCATGTCCTGTATATTGTCCAGCTGTGCAGTGTCATTCATTGTGCAGCTGTGTTATAAACACGGAAAAGGAAGAAGCTCGGATTGTGAGTACCATCTCTGTCCAGTCTGCCTGGTGACTGCTGTCAGACTGGTTGAAGCTCAGGTCACCTGTCCAGGGTTTATCAGAGTCCAGCCTTAGATTTTTGTTTTATCTGACTTTGCAAGAGACGATGTAGATTTACCTTGTGGTAATAATAAAACGCTTTATAATAAGTCTTGAATAGACTGTAGCAAGGTGATAATTTACACAATCTCAGAAACTGACCTAACACCAAGATGGGGCTGATCTTAGTAAACTAAACGGATTCGGCCAGAGGCAACAAGAAAGTGAGGAAATCGTCATCCTCGAAGCATGATAAAGGGCGTGTTTTATTCCCCCTTCATTTCTTTATAAGCTAAACAGAAATTTGCATTTGTCCGATGATAAAAGGAGACACGACACTGAAGTCTTTCCAATGACTGATCCTTTCTCTGTGTGCGCGCAGACGCAGTCCAGTGTTTTAATGGAGCGTGTGAAGCAAAACGAACTGATTCCCAGTTGCCCAATTTTCACAATACCGGTTTATTTCTGAGGCAGGTATATCCAAAACATAAACACCTTGGATGTTTACAGTACAATACAGGTTTGGCTTCCTTTCTTAGCACGGTTTGTGCAATCTATGCTAGCTTGCACAAAAGCAATGCTACCTGTTAACAGGTAATTTTTAGTTGATTAGGGAGCAGTCTGCCCTAAAGTGTGCTCACAGCTTGACCTAATATTTTAATTATCATCATACCTATCACTGTAGTCTTGCGTTTGTATTATTTAATTAATAGTTTTCAATCAATTTGAAACATTTTCTTATCTACTACAATCCGCCGCTACTTCTACATGAGTGCAGGAATTTCCGTGGAGCACTTGAAGGCAGCATGTTACCCAGAGACCGCCGGTCGTTTGCGCCCGGTGTTTCTCCGCCATTGGCAGCGCTGTTTCGTCCACCTACATTATCGGGGAGAAACCGTAGGGAGAGCCAGCCAACTGGAGGTGGAGTCTGAAGGTGGGGAGGGAGAAGAAAGGGGAGAGGAGCAGAACGGGGAAAGGCAGATACAACACAAACGGGGGGAGGACGGTGGATGATTTACGCTTTAAAAGTTGCATTACAACAAATCTGAGAGTTGCGGCGAAGAGGAATAACACAAGATGATAACACCCTACTTCCTAGAGAATTTCTGGGTAGGTGATACTTCTTTATTTACGGTATTTACACCGGTACTACTCGTTATTCTCTTGCTGTGTTCCCTCCCTATCCTGTTCATGTCAGCCCGGAATCACTTATTATTCACGTCGTCGTGCGGTTCACAGGTTTGCTCCTGCTGGAGTGCAGAGCTCCGGTGTTGCCAGACTTGTTGGTCAACACCGCCTTGGCCGTAGTTAATTTTCTTCGTTCGATTATTATTTTGCCACCCCGGGGTTCAGGCCTCTGTAAAGCCGTCTAACATGAAACCTCGAAGAATCCACCCCTGATCCCGCCAATTGGCCATCTTCAACTTGTTTGGGATGTTTATGGTCATTTCCTTGAATGCTATTGGACGCTTCCGCTGTCAGTCACGGTCCTTGACCGTACGCGTCATTTTCTTCCGTAACAAGTTTCGGTGAGAGCCCAGATGTTTAGTAACTTAGAGAACATGTTTAAAAACCCAAATTCACTCTCATACTTGATAGGATATTTAGCCTTTATAGCCATGGCTGTATTACTGATACACTGAATGCACTGTTGTCCATTTTCTGCATAAAGGCCACTTCTCTCTCGATAAATACTTGACGTGGCTATGTTAATAGGTTGAAGAGCCTGCATTCATTACTTAAATTAATTTGGTCTTTCATGTTACCTTCACAAACCTGTGTTTCACTCACCTGCTTGTTAGTACTTTTTCTTTTAAATAAGACGTGTTAGACGTATCAGATGTCTTAAATATAATCACCTCAGCAGCAAGTATGGCTCATGTGGATATTTTAGTCTTGTACTGAGTTATACTGGTATGCATGCTGAGGTCTCTCACTTTAAGACCAAAGAGATGAGGACAATAGCAGTAAGTATATGCGATGACTGAATATGAGCTATATGCTGGTAAATGTTATTGCTTTGCTCTGTTATTTTTCAATGATCATTTGTACTTGCAGCCTATGCAACTGTATTACTTTAATGGCATTTTATGATACCAAAACATTTTTTAAACACAATATGCCTTTAGTGATAAGTTGTATGACAAGTGCATACATGTCCATTTTGGAGGATGTCGTATTATTATTATTATGGCAACCAGTTTCTCAGCTAGAAACAGCGTCCCTTCACATAGTATTCCTGTTTGACCTCAGTTTTGTGTTTTGAATGCTGTAGGGAATTTGCTTACAAGGCGATAAAATAACATACATTAAGCTAAAAGTCTGAAGTAATTAGAAAGTACAGTGCTGCCAAGAAGCTCTAAAGCCTTTTTTCCTAAAGGAGACTTCATCACCAACTAAATGGAAAAGAGGAGAGCTGAGACACTCCTGATTCTTCAATCTGCCCTTTGTGCCCTGCAGTGAGCCACAAGAGAATCCAGTGATGGCAAAGATCCGCTGTGTGTTTAACATGCAGGGCACACACACACTTGGCATTAGGAGATGCATCCATTTCCCTTTGATTTCACCACAAATCACACCCACAGGGACACACATATTAGGCTGTCAGATTTGAAGTACTTTATGTGTTTCACTTTTGCACAGCATGCAGGAATACACACACTTTAGTCCATACTGTGCTCTTTCAGTCTAGTTTTATCTGAATGTTTTCATTGCTTCTCTGTTACGGTTGCTGAACTTGACAGTTCACTGGCTACAGCATTTCTGCTCACGATATTTATTTGCACATCTCATTTCCCCTTTTTCTCTGTTAAACGTGTGAGTTAGTTCACTGTGGTCCGTGGATGAAAGTTTTCATACCAAAGTGTGACTGAAGTGTCTCACTCAGTGGATTAGTGTGGCAGCAGATAGCAGATGTAATGCTCTAGTTTGAGCCTATGGTTTTTGTTGGGTTTGTTAGCTTCCAGCATGTCATGGGAAAATAAGATGGTGTTGTGATAAGCAAAATGTGTTGATACAGCCATCAGCCCTAGGCCGTTGTTTTCCTCCCATTTGCATTGTGTGTGTGTGTGTGTGTCTGGTCTAATAGGTTCTCACACAAGTCAGTGTGCAAGCTTATGGTCATACGAGAAGTGTTACAGTAATACAGCAGAGACTGAAGTAAGAAGAACAGATTGAGAGTGGTGACTAATTTCCTTTGTCTGCCGCTTTCTTCAACTGTAAACAAAAACACAAGCTGCTACCATGTGCTGTAACTTTTCATCTTTGTCTTTAGATGATGATCTCACAAACAACCCTGAACAATTTGTGTAGCTGGTGTAAAAATACTGTGTGTGTGTGTCGCGGCTCTCATAGACTGGGGGTTAGAGGTGGTTAAATGAGTCATGATTTGGGCTACACTAGCTTGTTTGGGATGTATCCAGTGATCACACAATGGGTAAAACATCTCAAAGTGTAGGAAGCGGTCAAGTACATTTATGTTTATACCACAGACAAAGTCCAGCCTGTGTGTGCTTACCACATACTACATGCAGGGAGCTGTTGCTGTTGGTGCGATGAGTTGCGACAGCTCAGTGCTCCCAGACCTCACTGGTCACATGACCTCTGATGTCATCCTGCTGTCTACCCGCTCACAGCTCTGGGGACTACAGGCTCCATCGTCTGCAGTCTGTCTGGAGTGAGGGAATCTTGTTTAGGTATTTGTCCAGAGCCTGAGAAGAGCTCGTGTCGGCTGGCACACCCTTTTCCTGGTTTACTTGGTTGCTGCTAGTGGAAATGATATGACCACAGCTACCTAAAGCACACTTAGCCTACCCGTGATACATTTTGCACCATGACAAATTAGCCTTTGTTAGTTGTGCTTACAATTTTAGACAGCTGTGGTCATTTTTGAGGCTGCAGTTTGTGGTGCTGTTGTACTGCATTATTCTTTTGTTTCTGTAATTTTGTTCACTTCATTTATATTGATGAGAATATGCTAAATAACAGAAACACCAATGCAGTACATTTAGTAGAAGCTTTAAGTGACCCCCTCACTCGATTCATTTTGGTTCACCTTGGTTATCTTGTGCTGTTAGAAGGAGAACAGTATAATACTGAGAGATAACCAGAACTGTTTCCATGTCCTGGCTTGTGTTACTGCCTGTCAGGCATTAAACACCTGATTCCCCACAAACAGGAGGAAACTGAACAGTGAATTCTTGATAAACTGCAGCACTGTGGTTTTGTTTATCTGTCTTGTAAGGTGGTATTACAAAATAAGGATATCAGCAATGTAGCACTTTTTCTTTTTTGTTATATTGACTCTTTATTTACACTGCTGTTATTGTTGTATGTGAAAACATAGGTTCTATATTTTAAAGCAGTCTTTGGACTGTTTTGTAGTCATGGCTCCACCATGTAGATGAAACAGAGCCATTTGATTACGGCACTGCCTTTCTTATTGACAATGGAGTCTATGTGCTATATATAATACATATCATGATATAAGACACTATATCTTCCTCTGCTCCAACTAACAATTATTTTTATTAACAATTAATCTGGTATTTTTTTAAGTAATCAATCGTTTGATCCTCAAAATGAAAAATGTCCAACGTAAGGCCTTTGTCTTCAGATTGCTTCTAATAAATCCAATATATTCAGGATTCACATCACACAAGACAAAGAAAAGCTGTAAATGTCTGAGAAGCTGGAATCAGGGAATGTTTGGTATTTTAGCTTAAAAAGTGACTTGGATGATGAGTTATCTTCAACTAGTCAATGAATTAATCAACTTATACTGATAAACATATGACCTAACCTATAGCTAACTGCAGCTCTAATGCCAAGCCTGAAGTAGTGTGTGTGTGTGTGTGTGTGTGTGTGTGTGTGTGTGTTGTGGTCTTACAAGCTGACGAACACTTCTCCAGACTACTTCACTAGTCATGCATGTTAAAAACCAGAGGGTTAACTTGTCTTCTGGAAGCAGGTGGCAGAGTCAGAGCTGTTTCACTAATGTTAAGCTGTTTGCATAGTAAGCATAACTTCAGTTAACAGTTCCTTGAAACCTCAGCAGTTCTCAGTCACTACACAAGGATCTGAGGTTTGTTCCAGGAAAACAACAGGATGGTTTCAGTCTAAACGCCACTGCACAATCTGGGGTCATGCTTTCGTGCTGTATATTAAATTCTGCATTTAATAGTAAGTGATGCTGCTGCTTTTTCCTGTCTAAGCTCATCATCTAAATGCTTATAAATGAATAAGCATTAGTGCATATACACCCATGACATGAGCTGTCGGATTTCTGGGCTCCTACCTGTGCATTTTAAAGTATACAAAGATGCTGAATCCCTTGCAGTCTGTGCATTGCAGACATAGTGCACTGTGCAGTGGACAGCCGACACCATTCTCTCTCTGTCTCTATGAACTCTATCAGTCTGCAGGAAGCTGTCTCAGCTGCGCACTGTGCTATTGCTCAAACAGCTCGTCACTGATATGTGTCTAAGCATGTTCTTAGAAACCTCCTCATCTAAATCCAAGAATAATGAGTACTTCTGAATTTCACCGTGCATGGTTTGAATATTAAACACCCAGTACGAGGTTTTTCGTCGACGATCCCCCAGATGAGGACTGTGTGCAGCCCTCTAGTGTCACTGTCACTGTAAACGTACATGTAGTTGTACAGCCCTACTTTCTGCTGCCAAAGAGAGGTTTGTAGTTAAATCTCAGATATTTCAGGCTTGTTCAAGGTGATGCCTTTCCATTCTTGGCTCCTGCTTTGTATGATTTTTGTTTCCCCCCACAGTTCCAGTACTGTAGCCTGGTGAGCAGTCAGAAATGCCCTGAGCGGTTTCCTGCATTTGTTTGTATCTTTCTTTGTATTCATTGATATCACGGCCCACATGAGCACATTTTTTACACAGAATGGACTTTCTTCCTGTCGTTCGTCTGCTCTGTTTGGAGCCCTGTGTTTTTGATCACTTTCGTCACTTCCCTGTTTTGTAGGCCGATTAGCCAGTTGTCACAGTTTCTCACATGAGGTTTTTGTTATAATTCAGGCGTTGCAACACTTATGTAGGCTTAGTGTTATGGTCTGTGTCTCACCTTCCCTTCATGGCATCTAATGCACATAGTATCTTATATGCTGTTGGCTAAACCTTTCTCTTTTTGGTAGTAGTTATTTTGTTACAGCACATCTCAGTGGCCTGCCAGCTGGGCCCAAATGTAGGCCAGTGAGCTGCAGCCTAGGAAAAGATACTTTTCTTTTAATGTCTATTTGCTCTGTCAACATTGTCCTACTGGAATAGCTCTGAGCTTCATTTTGACACAGACGGCCTGACCTTTTATCTTTGTTGATGTGGAGGAACAAGGCTAAAAAACCATGCTACACTGAACAGCTGCACCGATGTTGCAGCCTGTAAAAGAAACTGCTGACAGAGGATTGCTCCAGGAATCAGGAAATATCTGCCGTGGGTTTAAGTGAATCAGTCAAGAACTTTGGTGAAGAGAGCTTTTTTTTAGTGAAAGCATGAGTTTCCTTCATTTTACCCCTAGAACTAGTCGTCGGTCCTCAAGTTGCCACAATTGGACCTTTAATTCATTGCCTGCTGTTGGTCAGTAGTTTATTCCTGTTGCTGTCTGTGTGCACGGTGTTGTAACAATAGGGAACCTTCTAGTTGAAAGCCATGATTAGTATGTTTTCTCCCTCGCAGCCTGATGGAGGGTGATGAGGAAGTAAAGCGAGTCATCTTCTCTGAGAAGAGAGAAGACACCTTTAAATGAAATTTATCAGAAATACTGTGTTATAAAAGTTCAGAGCCAGTTATTACAGCTAAGCAGGTGCTCGGGTGACCGACAAGTGTCCTCCTGTCAACTGCACTGCTATACCCTGACAGCTGCTGAGGTGGACTCAGGCCCGTAGCTATTTTCCAAACCAGCTGAGCTCTTATTTTGAAAACAACACTCAGCATCATCAGTGTCATTCAAGGAAAGGTCACCTGAAGTCTGAAGTTTAATATCTGATTGATTGTGTTACCTTCATTCTACATGCGCCAGTTGCTTTAGTTTGTTTGATATCAGTCTTTCATTGTATAGGAGGTAGGTGTTGTGTTGTCCTACGAAGTAGTTGTGATTGTTTTGCCTGCTGAAACTTGCAGTTCACATTTGAGGAACTGTTTATTTTTCTGTGTATCCTGTTTGCCTTTTAAGCAGCTGTTGTTGTCATTTGGTGTTTAAAATATGAGAAAAACGTGGAAAAACTGTCTGAGAAGCTGAGACCAGAGAATTGGAGACATTTATGTTTTAAAAAATGATTCATGGGTTATCAGAATTATTGCAGATCATTTTTCTGTAAATGGACTAATTGGTTTGTCAAACAACCATTTCTTTTTTGTAATTATGAAACTTTTTTTTTTAACCTCAACCCAAAATGTTTTTTTCCTTTTAATTATTCAGAGATGTGTTTGCATTTTTTAAAGCATCAGTGCAACTGGACACCGTTATCCAGTGGCATGGTTACTGCAACACAGGCAGGTTCGCTTCCTTTGCACACTCGAGACCAATCCACCACTATTCCTAAACATTTTTAACATTCATCACTCTCAGAAATGGCCAGGATGAGTATGGTTGACCAGAGGCTGCTGCGAATGCAGCTGGAAGCTATGCAGACGATGAGAATGCTTCTTATAGAAAAAGCCGTCCTGGTAACGTGCAGTCAATAACTGGGGAATGTTTTTTGTTTCTGAGACTTGGTTCTTGTTCTTCTGGCTGATCAACCTGCATTCTTTTTTGTCTCTGAATTGCAGGGGGAAAAAAATAATGGCTTCGATGTGCTCTACCATAACATGAAGCATGGCCAAATTTCCTCCAAGGAGCTGACAGACTTCATCAGAGAAAGGTAATACACAGTGGCCCCATACATGTTCTAAACATGTGGCCATTTGGTCATGGTCAACAACATGGTATAGTATAACAGCATCATGTACAAATCTAGTATAACAGCATTACTCATTAACCTCAGAGTTTTATACGTCTTTCCTGCTTTGTGGTTTTCTGAGTCACCACCCGTAGCTCCAGATCCTTCTATTGTGTTTTTAATAACACCCACATACTCAGCTGAGACTGTTACTATTATTTGTTTTTAGTTTGTTCGATTGCTACAGACGTACATCTCAAACAATAAGAGTGTGTTTTAACTATATCTACAACTAATGATTATTATTTTTTTTTTTATTGATTAATCTCTGTTATTTTTTGATTGATTAACAGTTTAGACTGTAAAATGTTTAAAAATTATAGGGAAAATGTCCACTTCAACCTGTCAGAATCCAAGATGATTTGTCCGACAGAAAGTCCAGAACCCAAAGGTATTCAGTTTACTGATATATGACAAACGAGTCTTCGCGTTAGTGAAGCTGAAGCTACAGTCTGTTCAGTCTGGCATGATAAATATGAATCTCTCTATTAAGAGTCTCTGTATTTAACCAGAAACTTCAGTGAAACACTAGATCAGACTGAATGTTATGCAAACTTAACCTGTTTGTTGAAGGAGCTTAAACCTGAGTCCTTCTGTGACCTGGCTTTACATTACACACCTTCGATGTCTGCAGCTTGATAATACCATAATAATAGTTTCTTTTCAGATTCTTCCCACTTGTGTAACGAGCAGCCTCTGTGTGAGAAGTGTACGTTGATAACCTGCTTCGTGATAGATGCTCTGCCACATTCAGCAGTGGATTCCACTGTCTGCGTGACTTAGAGGAATGCACTCAGTCACACTGAAACTTTATGTAACACATAGGAGCTGAAATGCTGGATCAACCATGTTTATTTAAAGATGATATTGAATGTCTTAGAATTAACAAATGATGACAATTCAGAAGTTTTTTTTTTTAATGCTTACATTGAGGAACATCTCTTCATTGTTACTTGTTAAGTTTTACTTTTGTTAAAGAAAGTGTTTATTTAATGTGGATAATATTCATATTTGAGCCCATTTACAGCTTGTCCCGTGGTTTCAGCTGACTCCAAAAGAAAACATAGTTTTTACTTCTGGGGAAAAAAAAACTGCACGGTGGCTCCCTCTAGTGGGGAAAATAGCTCTGTGCACTGTGTTACAAGATTTAGAAGAAGAATCATCTTTAATCTGTAAAAAATAATTTTGTGGCCACAGTGCACACCACACAGTTGAATCATCTGCTTTCTCAGATTCTGGTTTGGAAGTTGAACCATTATGGCTACTCACGGCATAGTGGCAGTATTTACAACATGGTAACAACAACCTGGGCCTGTGCATACTGTAGATGTGGAAGTGGAAATGTAGAATGCTTCTCTAGCTGGTCACATCACCTGTGATGTTGTGCTTCATGTGTGAGTTTCACTCCATGCAGTGTTTGTGTTTGTCTGCCTGTACCTTTGTGTATTTATGATGGATGTGTGTGCACATTTGTCCTATTTCCCCCCTGGCTGACCTTGTTTCTGTGATGTGACTGCAAAGAGAGGCGGGCTAAATGAGACATGCATAATTCAGACTTTCACTATAACGCTGCAGCGTTTTCTTGTTGTTTTTTTTTTTTTTTCAACTTCTGTCATTGGTGCAGAGTGAAGCAATAAAAGGGGAAGTTGAGAGAAGCAGCTATAACATGACCCTTATGAACACATTACAGACCAAACCACACTGTATTTGCCCATGCATGGTCAAGCATTTATTGGTGTTTTTGGCTGGAGTCTTCGGTTGTTCAGTGACACGCCCCATTTGAGCCATAACCTAGTTGCAAATGCTTTGTAATACCATGTTATGCAAGGTTTTAAACGGAGAATTGTCTTCTTGACATGAGTAACAGATGATGTGGTCGATTCTTTTCAAGCATATGTGACACTTGATTGCAGTAATGTTTGCTCCAGCTCACCCCGCCCCTTTCTCTCTGAAGCACTGTCAACAATTAAGCCAACTTCAAGTTTAGACTGTTTGGATTAGGTCAACAAGAGGTGTCATAGAAGACTGCTAGGAGTCTGCTGACATATGATGCCATTAACCTTTGGCTAATTGACCTTTGATGGATTTAACGTGTTGTGTTTTTTGCTCTCCTAGGAGTACGATTGAAGAGGCCTATGCCAGGTCAATGACCAAACTTGTCAAGTCAGCTGGCAACTTTTCTCAGCTTGGGTAAGTGTAAGCTTCTTTCTAAAGAAAAGACCGCTGTGGTTTAAGGTGGAAATGAATGCCTTGCGGCGTGTAAGCCTCTGAGGTGTTTGTCACCCTTTATTCCAGGACATTTGCTCCAGTGTGGGATGTGTTCAAGACCTCAACAGAGAAGCTGGCCAGCTGCCACATGGAGCTGGTGAAGAAGCTGCAGGAACTTATAAAAGAGGTTCAGAAGTATGTGGAAGAGCAGGCCAAAGCACACAAAAAGGTAAGGAACTGTAGCATACATGCTTAGGCTTGTTTACTTTTTAAAACATTTCAACTTACTGCTGATATTT